GCTCCGGCCACAGTGAGGTCCTAGGACCCTGTGGAGGCTTCACCGCTGAGAGGAGGGTCCGGGTGGAGACTCTGCCCCTTGGTGAGGCGGGCTCCGTGGAGGTTGTGAGGAGGGCCTGGGTGGCAGAAGGCACTATGCCCGATGGGCTAGCTATGGGCGCAAGAAGCTTCTAGAAGGCAGGCGGGTTCCTGGGGCCGTTCCCGCGGGGCGCGAGAAGAAAGCCGCCTTTGTACGGGGCTCCACAGGCGCTCGCCTACAGCAAAACCGCCTGAAAACCTTTTGTGAACACCGGGCAGCCCTCCCGGAGGGTCTCGTTGCCGCGGTGACGGGGCCCGGGGTGTCGCGGGCGGCCCAGGCCTGGGGACTGCAAGCTCTGCCGGGAGGGGCCGGAACGACGACCCCGGGCCCGGATCCCACTTCGCGGTCACTTCTTTCCTCTCCCTGAACTTGGAGCGGGGTCGGCCCCGACGCAGGCGCACTGAGCGCCCCGCCCCCGCGGCGCTCCGGCCCGCCGTTGCCCGAGTAACCGCACTCCCCCGCCCCCCGTCCCCGGTCCCGCCTTCTTCGCACGCTGGTTGGCAGCGCCTGCTGTTCGTCAAATTCGCTGCCGCCGCCTATTGGGCGCAACAAGTTTCTCAGACTCGGCACCCTTCGCCACGCCCCCGGTCCTGGGCGCCCCACCTCGGACCCCGACTCCCTTGCGGTCCTCAGGGCTCCACGAGCAGCTGTCTGACTCCCGTTCGGGCGCACCGGGGCAGCGATGATCCTCGAGGAGAGGGCGGACAGCCCGGGCGGCGAGGACAGTGCCCGGCTGCAGGTGGCCGGCAGCGACAGCGAGGTGGGGACGCAGGGCGAGGAGGGGTGGGTTACGGGGAGGCATTGCAGGACAGGGGCCCGTGATAGGGAGGGTTCGAGGCCGGAGATGGGAGCTAGGAGACTTGCGGGGTGCCCTGATGCAGGGCGAAGGCACAGGAGTCCCTGGGGAAGCTGAATGAGGGGTGTTGCAGGGTGTGGAACAGGAGTTTGTGTCTACAGGGGTGTGGGCCGGAGCCTGGCATGTTTTGGGAGTCTTTAAGGCGCAGGAATACAGCAGGGTGCAGAGCATAGGTCTGTGGGTGCGGGATGTCAATGGTAGGGTTCCCAGGGTGTAGGGGTGCAGATTGTAGGGGTGCAAGCAGGATGGGAAGTCCTAGGGGCAGCCCTCTGTTCTCCCTTGAGCTCAATTCAAGAGGGATGGTCGCTCCAGCCCCGCCCAGCTAGGCCACCTTCTGGTCTCTGATGGCTGCTACTCCCCACAAGTCTCACTGGCCACAGAGGCAGGCAGAGCTTTCTGGGAAAACAGAAGCCTGTGGGGAGGCCAGACCTGGGTCCCATGCTGCCCTGTGTGGTATCACAGTGGCCTCACAGGACTGGGGACAATGAGAGTGTGGTGAAGCCACGGACCCCCCACCCTCCAGCAGGCTCTTTCCATTGGCTCTCTCTGCAGATGCCCTCAATGTTTGTTTGTGTATGATCCACCCCTTCCTAGCTGTGTGCCCCTGCCGTGGGGCAGCTAGGTCACTGGGCGTTGATGTTGCTGACGTCAATGGCTGGCGGACTCCCCTGGAGGACCTGCAGCCCGGCAATGCCCTCACTCCCCCGTCATTTTGTGGACTTTCGTTCCCTCCTGAAGTCTAACCCCAGGGTGCTGAGCAGGGCGGGGCCAGGACCCTGGGGTGACTGAGACTGCTCCATGCCAGGTGCCTGTCCCCCGGCTCTCCGTCTGAGGCTGCCCAGCAGGGGTGGCGCCTGAGCAGGGCCCAGGTAGCCCCGCCATGGTGTCATGGTGTTACACCTCCGTCTCCAGTGTCAGCTTGTGCCGTATCCCGGATGGCTGAGCCCAGCTCTTGTGTCTGAGTCTGTGCTGCTGCGCAGGAGGGGGAGAGGCAGGCCGTGGGCCAGGTGCGGTGACCTGATCCTGTCCCTGGAGAGCTGGCTTTCTGGCTCCGGGGCCCCAGCCGCTGGCGGAGGGCTTGGGAAGCAAAGTGCACATGCACCTTTGGGGAGGGGGCACTGTGGCCAGGCTGTGCACCTGTGTCGGGGGTGGAGTCTATGGGGTGGGGACCTGGCTCTGCAGGAGCTTGGGGAGCGTGTACTGGGGTTGAGTCAGCCTGCAGGTCGGGTTGAGTAGCTGTCCTTGTGGTTAGCAAGGCCATGAGGGGAAGCCGGCCTTGGCACCGGCCTCCTCCACCCTGCCCTGGGGCCCTGGGGCCCTGGGTGGCTTCCCCACCACAGGTGCACCCCGACCCCTCCCATGCAGTGGGTGGTTTGTTTCTCTTTCTGCCGGCCCTGCCTCTCCATGCAGACACTGGGACACCCGGAGGCCACGTGCCCACTGGTCCACAGTGGGGCAGACAAGACAGCAGAGGTCAGGGCCTCAGGAGCCATCTAGAACCAGCCCCTGGGTGTGGCACAGTGGGAGGTCAGGCTGTCTGGCATCCAACCCCTGGCCCATGGTAGGGTCTTAAGGTCCAGCTTCATGGCCAGGGCAAGGGGCTGGCTCCCCAAATCCACTGTTCTCACCCTTCCCGGCCACCTCTTGGGCTGTGCAGACAGCCTGAGAGCACACAGACCCCCCCATCCTAGGCCAGTCCCCCCAGGGAGACTCCCCCACCCCATCCTGAAGACCTGCAGCTGCAGGCTGACTTGGGAGGGAGGCTGCACCCCAACCCCTCAGTTCCTGGTGGCCAGTTCCTGTTCAGGGCAGTCCTGAGGTGACTGTGCAGAGGGGCAGAGGGGGGCATAGGTTCTGTCCTTGGGGAGAAGACAGGGGCACATGCACGTACCCTTTGCCTCCTTCCTCCTCGCCCCCCACCCCCAGCCTCCCACTGCACAGGGCAGTGTGGAAGCCCCTGGGACGACCCACTCAAAGCCCATGATGCCAAGAATCCAGGAACCCCTGTGCCCAGACCCCCAGGAGGCAGCAGGTCTGGGAGGGGGGCTCTGGGCAGAAGAGCCAGGTCAGCAAGCATGAGTGTCCATGAAGGTGGGGGTAGACCCAAGGAGGGCTGGGCATGGTGGGGTGACAGGGAGGATGGGGTACAGGAGACTGGAGCAGGGTCTCCCTGCTCAGCATGCCCAGGGGAAAGAGTATAGGGGGCTGAGGCCCTACAGGGGGTGGGGGGGCATAGGAAGGAGAAGGTGTGGAGGGATTATGGGAGAGCAGTGGCAGAGCGGGTGCAGGGGTGGAGAGAATGTGAGGGCTGGGAGTGTGGGCAGAGAGTGTGAAGGGAGTGTGGTGTAGAGGCATGGGGGCAGAGGAGGAGGAGCAAGGGGAGGGAGGGGGCTGTATGAGATGCAGGGTGAGCTCAGGGTCTTGTGGTTGGTGGGCACAGGGCGCACCCTGGACCCTGGTGGGATTGGGAGGACCCACGGGGAGGGGCCCTGGGACCAAGAGGGCTGAGAGTGCTGCACTGGGCGACCTGGGGGACACTGCCCACGAGGGCTGGGTGCCTGTGAGGCAGCGTTGTATGGTACTCTCTGGGGCCCAGCGCCCATCCAGGGACCGCTGCTCTCTGAGCTAAGCAAGGGCCCATGTCTTTGAGCTCCTCTCCTGAGGTCACCATGGGGCTCACCACCTCCCTCCCACTCCCCTCTTCTCAGATGACTAGTTTAACCTCTTGGCTCAGCACCCTCCCTTCAAGAACCCCACAAAGACACCCTGTTCCCAAGAGGGATCCTAGCCCAAGGAGGGGAGGGGACACGGCTAAACCCATGAGCCGAGTTGTGGCCTCCCTGCAGGGCTGTGACCTGCTGACGGAGCCTCAGCATGGCCACCTGCAGTGCCGCCGGGCCCATGTCCACCAGCTGATTGCCAAGGAGCTCCGCATTCGGACAGGCGCTGAGAACCTGTACAGGTGGGCTGGGCGGCCCTGGGCGGGCCCTGCCCCAGGCCCAGACTGGTGGGGGGTGGGGGTGCACTGTGACCTGGGATGAAGGGTCATGGCCAGGGACTGACAGCACAGCAGGTCCACGCTCACAGTTGTGGAAAGTGGGTGCCCCAATTCGGGGTGCCAGAGCTCCCTGGTCTTTCTCTATGGCCACATCTCTCCAACCTCTGCTTAGAGGGGTCCTAGCACCGACACAGCCCTCTCTGCAGGGGCAGTGGGGCTCAGGGTGCTCACTGGCTGCCTGGGGCTCTGCAGAGGCCCAGGAGGCCATGGCCCCCAGCACCCCAGCCTCCCTGCCCTCCCCGCTTTGCCTAGTGTATACTGGAGTTTCTCACAGCACCGCCCCCCCCACAAACACAGAGGGCTCAGACTCTCCCTTCCCCTCTGGAAGGTGGTCTGGAGTCACATGGGTAGGGCTGTGTCTGGGGGGCTGGACTGGGAGGTGGGAGAGGAGAATTAGGACCTACCTACCTATGTGGGGGGCGGTCAGCTGGTGAGGACTGCAGGAGGAGACGCAGGGGGGGTGGGCACCCACACCAGCTGGGGCAGCGGGGTGGGGTAGGCATAGGTCTGACCTGCCCTGGCCCCCCAGAGCCACTACCAACAACCAAGTCAGGGAGACGGTCGCCCTGGAGCTGAGCTACGTCAACGCCAGCCTGCAGCTGCTGAAGGAGGAGCTGGATGGCGGCTGCATGGACACCCCCTGGCTCGAGGGGTACCTGTGCCAGAGAGGGGCTGGGTTCTGGAACAGTGGGGGGGGCTGGATTCTGGAACAGTGTGTGTGTGTGTGTGTGTGTATGCACACGCATGTCTTGCATATGTACACATGAGGCTAGATTCTAAGCAATGCATGTGTGCTATGTGCCTGGACACCGGGGAACCTGCCGTGTGCATGTGGACAACCCGCCTTGAGGCTGGTTTCTCCAGAGAAGCAGTCACTAGAGGGTCCACGTAAGCAGGGGGAGAGACTTGTCTCAGGAAAGTGGCTCCCAGGGTGTGGAGGTGGCAAATCCCAAGTCTGTGGGCCAGAAGTCAGACTTCTTGAACATGTGACTGCAGGAACTGGCTACTTCTAAACTCAGCAGGTCAGGTGTCAGGCTGCTGGCTCGGGGCCTGAGGGAGGAGGTCAGGTGATTGTAATTTGGGTGAAGGATGGGGAGGTCGAGCTTCGCCCAAACATCCCTATGTCCTGGCAGCCGCCTTCCCAGGTGAGGGTCAGCTCACAGAAGGAAGGCAGGTTCTGTGCTGTCCACCAAACCACTGAGACCCACAGCCTGGCAGGGTGCACACAGCCTGCACCCCCACAGGGTGCCAGAGTGCATGTGAGTGCGTGTGGTGCTGGGTCTCAGGGAGAAACACATGTGAACTGGGTTGAGGTGAGAGACGTGTCTGTTGGGTGGGAGGGGTGGTATCCTTGGGGGCAGCAGGGATCCAACCTGGGTTGGACACTGTTCCCAGGGACAGCATCAGCATTCCCATGATCCCTCTGGGCCTGAAGGAGACCAAGGAGCTAGATTGGTCTACACCCCTGAAGGTGAGCGTTGCCATGCCTGGGATGGGATTTTGGTGGGGAGCTCACGGTGTCCCGGGATCTGAAGGACCCTACCTTCTTGGGCGACTGCGTGGGCAATGAAGGGCCCACTGGTCTGGCCTCCAGAGATGGCCTGCTTGGGGTGAGAGAGGGGCGCCGTACCCTGGGCAGGCTACTGCGCCCACAGTCCCTGCAAGCTCTAAGGGTCAGAGATCCTGTGACCAGGGGCTGCAGGGCCCCTCGAATCAGAACCTTTCTGAGACCCACCACAGCCCCAGTACTGGGGGTCCCAGCCCAACCAATCCCTGCTGTGACCAGCCCCTGCCTTGTGCCACCATTTCTGCCTGCCCAGTGGCACCAACACCTGGTCCCGGGGTCACTGGGAAGCCGCAGCAGCCACAGAAACAGCACCACCAGCTGTCCCTGCCCACGTTGGGGGGTGGTCTGTGAGGGCCAGCTCAGCACGCCCATGCCCACCAGGCCCTGTACAGTCCTTCGGGGTGGGGGTGGGGGCAGTGCCCTGGCCTTGCCCTTCAGGCCCAGAGTTCCCGTCCCCATCTCCTCAGGAGCTGATCTCCAGCCACTTTGGGGAGGACGGCGCCAGCTACGAGGCTGAGCTGAAGGAGCTGGAGGCCCAGAGGCAGGTGTGCGGCCCTCCCTGCCCCAGGCCCTGCTGCCTGCTGGCCACAGAGGAGCAAGCAAGAGTCTGGCAGGAAGCAGCAGGAGGTCCACCTAGGGTCCCAGGCGTCCTCAAACTGTGGCCCGCGGGCCACATGCAGCCCACCCAGGACATGTATCCAGCCCGCCGGGTGTTTTTGCCCTGTTTTGTTTTTCACTTCAAAATAAGATATGTGCGGTGTGCACAGGAATTTGTTCATAATTTTTTTAAACTATAGTCCGGCCCTCCAACAGGTCTGAGGACAGTGAACTGGTCCCTGTTTAAAAAGTTTGAGGACCCCTGACCTAGACCTTCGTCTGAGGGGTCGGTCCCAACTAGGGAAGCTGCGGTCCTTCGCAGTGCACGGGGGCCTGCACACCCCCACGGACAGCCCCTCACCCCTGGCCCATGCTGCTGCTGCCACCGCCACTGCCCACCCATGTGAGCAGCGAGAGGGACCAGCAGTGAGGCCGGTGCTTGCTCCCCACAGGCCATGCGGATGCCCAGCCGGGACCAGGCGGGCCTGGAGCTTCTCCTGGCCTACTACCAGCAGCTCTGCTTTCTGGAGGCCCGCTTTTGCTCGCCCGCCCACAGCCTCGGCCTGCTCTTCCACTGGTAGGGGACTGGGCCACCAGCCCTGACCCCCATCCACTCCAAGGCACTACCCTCCCCTGTGAGGCCCCACCAACCCTGACCCCCACCTGCCAGATGCCACTTCCTCCCCTCCCACAACCACTGCTCTCACTCGCCCCCACCCCCACCCCCGTGCCGCCCCAGGTACGACTCTCTAACGGGCATCCCCGCCCAGCAGCAGAGCCTGGCCTTCGAGAAGGGCAGCGTGCTCTTCAACATCGGTGCCCTCTGCACCCAGATCGGTGCCCGCCAGGACCGCTCCTGTGCCCAGGGCACCCGCCAGGCCATGGAGGCCTTCCAGCAGGCCGCAGGTGAGGACCACACGGGGGCCAGGTGTGCCTGGGGCAGTAGTGGTGGAGGTGGCCTGAGGCGCTGGGGGTGAGCGCTCCCCTCTGCAGGGGCCTTCAGCCTCCTCCAGGAGAACTTCTCACACGCGCCGAGCCCTGACATGAGCCCGGCCTCCCTGCGAGTGCTAAAGATGCTCATGGCCGCCCAGGCCCAGGAGTGTGTCTTTGAGGGCCTCTCCCTGCCCGCCCCTGCTGCCCCTCATGATGGCCCAGCGCAGCTGCACCTGGCCCAGGAGGCTGCCCAGGTGAGGATCCCACACACACAAACACTGCTCTCCTGGGACCGTCCCACACACCCAGGGTCTCAGCCTTCGTGGGCAGGAGGAGCCGGGTGTGGGTGGGTACAGCTGGGACACACAGAGCAGGCTGTGGGAGACCTGGGACGTGCAGGGCTGCGTGGCTCCCTCCTGGTGTATGTCAGTCTCCCAGTGCTGGTGTCCTGGCCAGTGACTGGCCTAATCCTGGTTCCTGCAGGATTATGTGGGTCCCCTGTCCCACTGTGTCCAGCCTGGTGGCCTCCACCTGTCTGCTGGGGAGGGGTGGCATCAGTCGGAGTTGGAACCAGAGTGTGGGGGCTGCAGGACCTGGCTTGGGGCAGGCAGAGGCTAGGCCAGGGCTGGACTCTCCATGTGTCTGCCCGCCGGCAGGTGGCGGCCGAGTATGACCTCGTGCACCGGGCCTTAGCGGAGCCACCCGCCCGGGACTGTGTGCCCAGATCCTGGGTCGCCCTGGTGCAGACAAAGGCCCAGTACTTCGGGGCTCTGGCCCACTTCCACACGGCGGTGGCTCTCTGCGACAGCCCCGGTGAGTGCCTGCCGGCCAGTTTGGGGGCTGTGTGGGAGGGGCGTGCCGGGCTCATGCTGACCCCTCCCCAGCATCATCCACAGGGCAGGTCTCCGGGCCACCGAGGGCTGCAGAACTAGAGCCTGAGGAGTGCCGGCGGCGCGGTGAGCCTGGGGAACAGCGGGGAGAGACCCCACCATGGCCCAGTGGTACCTGAGCGGGTTGGGGGTGGAGACAGCATCCAGGGACCCACAATTAGGCCATCTCCTCCCGGCCCAAGGCCAGCGATGCTGGGACCCTTGGGCTGACCCAGATGTCCTCCTCACCACTCTTGCCCACACGTGCGGTGGGCACTGCTGACCCAGGCAAGGCCCACCTGAGGCGCGCCATCCTGGCCCAGGAGGAGGCGCTTCGGCTGCACGGCCTGTGCCCAGTGCCCCGCCAGGTGGACCTGCTGCAGGCCGTGGTGGCCCAGGCACTACGGTGCTCGCTGGCCAAGTACTCTGAGCTGGACCGCGAGGACGACTTCTTCGAGGTGGCTGAGGTCCCCGATGTTCAGCGTGAGCACCAGGCCCTGGGGGGGACGTGGCCAGGGCGGCGGTCAGTCACACGTGACCAGCCTCACCATGGGCGTGAGCTTCTGAGGACCTGGGAGGGGCCAGGGCTTGAGGAAGGCAAAGCCCCGACACCGGTGGGCCTTCAGGTCCCTTTTCCCCCAGCTGGTCCTGCTCCAGAGAGGGATGTGGACAGCCCTGCTGCCCGGCAAAGCCTGTGCCCTCAGGCCCCCCGCCCCCTGACTTCGGAGACACTTCTTCCAAGCAAGCCTGGAAGGGCATCCAGATTGGTCCTGGGCCTCAGCACTCTTGCCCCTCCTTCCCCTCCAGCTAAAACCCTTCAGAAGCCCCAGGTCCAGGCCCCCAGCTTCTCCAAGGTGGACGCCTTTGACATCTTCCACAGGCTGGTGAGCACCATCCCCCGGGATTCCCCCAGCCCCCACCTGAGCCCTCACCTGAGCCCCCACCTGGGTCCCCACCTGAACCCTCACCTGAACCCCCATCTGAACCCCCACCTGAGCCCTCACTTGAGCCCTCACCTGAGTCCTCACCTGTACCCCCACCTGTCCCCTCACCTGAGCTCTCACCTAACCCTCACCTGAGTCTTTGCCTATATTGTCACCTGTACCCTCATCTAAGTCCTCTCCTGTCCCCTCACCTGTCCCCCCACCTGAGCCCTCACCTATACCCTCACCTATACCCTCACCTGAACCCTCACCTGTGCCCTCACCTTTACCCCCACCTGAGCCCTCACATGAGGCCTCACCTGTACCTTCACCTGTACCCCCACCTGTGCCCTCACCTGTACCCTCACCTGTGCCTTCACCTTTACCCCCACCTGAGCCTTCACCTGGGTTCCCTTCCAACACCCCGAGCCCTCAGCACAGGTGCCCCAGGACCACCCTCTCCATCGAGCAGGCCAGCCTGGTCCAGGGGCTGCCTTGGAGTGTAGGGAGTGGGGTGCTGGTCAGGGTACGGGTGTGACTGTCAGGACAGGGGGGCTGGTCAGACTGGAGCCTCTGCTCCTAACCAGCCTCCACCCCCACACTCCCTACCACCCTGCGCCAGGGGCCCCTGTCCGTTTTCTCAGCCAAGAATCACTGGCGCCTGGTAGGGCCCGTGCACGTGACCCGAGGGGAAGGTGGCTTCGGCTTCACACTGCGAGGAGATGCACCTGTGCTCATCGCCGCCGTAGTCCCTGGGGGTCGGGCTGCGGTAAGCCCCCATCCGTGCCCCTATCTGGCCAGGCCCCGCTCCTGGGCGGTCACTGCTCACCCGAGTCCTCGTAGGTGGCAGGCCTGAAGGAGGGCGACTATCTGGTGTCTCTGAACGGGCAGCCGTGCCGGTGGTGGAAGCACGCGCAGGTGGTGGCACAGCTGCGGAGTGCAGGTGACGAGGGCGTGCACCTGGGTGTGGTGACCATGCTACCCGGCTTGGAGCCCCCCAGCGTGGTGAGCCCCCGTCTGCACCCCTCCCCCACCATGCTCACCCTGTCCTGCTCGAGGCCGCCCGGCGCCCACCCCACAGCCACCGGTGGGCTTGTGTCCCCAGCAGTCCCTGAAGGTCCAGGCAACCCTGGCCCCAAGAGGAGGCTGCAGGTCCTGCACGGCCTCGTGTTCGGACTGCAGGAGCCCACCTGGCAAGGGGCTGAATGGCTGCCTCTGTCCACCTGCAGACGGACCGCCGGCTGGGGCGCCTCCTGAGGAGCCAGAAGGAGTGTGCTCGCGCCAAGCCAGTGCCCTCCCGGGCCAGCCCCAGGCCCCTCCTTGGCTGGAGCCGTAAGACCAAGGAGGCCAAGGCCCCAGGTCGTCCCCAGCCCCACCCCTCCCCAGGGACCACGACAAGGGCCCCTGACCCTTGTGTGCCCCCCTCACCCTGTGAGTACCCAGGCTCGCTGTGAGGGACATGTCCCTCCCGAGGACTTCAGGCCAGTGCCGGCCTGTCTTGCCCCCAGGGCTTCAGGAGGACTCTGCCTGCTATTAAAGGTGTCTGAAGTGGAGTGTCTGCCCAGTCCTGTGCTGCGGGCGGCGAGACCCTGCCCCAAGGGAGCAAGGTATCCTCTTGGGCCTTGGGTCCAGGGGGTCGTCCCCATGTGTGAAAGGCTCTGACTAAGGTGGGCAGTAGCCTGAAGGTGGCTGGCCTGCCAGCTGTCCCAGGAAGCAGGGAGGTGCAGGAGGAGGGGCAAGGGGGGTCCCTCCACCCTGGGTCCTTGCTCCCCTAGCAGAGAGCCTGCGTCACATGGGGCCACTCCGTCCCATGGCGCCCAGATCCCCTCCTGCCTGGCTGCAGCAACTCCTGGCCACCTCCCTCCACTGCCAGCCCAGTGGCCACCAGGCCACCTTCCTGCCCAGCCCAGTGGGAAAATACCCTGCTGGGTCCTTACCTGTCCCCACCCACTCTGCCCACTACGACCCCTGCCCCCACCACCAGCAAGGAGCTCATAGTGCAGACCCCTGGCCCACACCCTGCCTGAGTCAAGCTGGTATGCATTGGGGAACCCCCCTT